TATATATATATATATATATATATATATATATATATATATATATATATTCCATTTTTTCTCCATTCAAAGGTTTGTTTCTGATCTAAAAAGATTTGAACTATTTTTTGTGCAGTTTTGATCTCCGGACAGTTCCTGTTGACTTTGTTGAGTGTCTGATGCGTTTCCTGCCCACGGAGGCTGAGGTGAAGCTTCTACGGCAATACGAGAGAGACAGAAAACCTCCAGAGGCCCTGAGTGACGAAGATCGATTCATGATGCAGTTCAGTCGTATCGAAAGGCTCAGTCAGCGCATGTCTATCATGACATTCATGGGCAACTTTGCTGACAATATCCAAATGTTGACACCGGTAAGAAAATAAAATAAAAGAAATAGAAATTAAAAGAAAAGTATAGAAAATAAATGACTGTGCTGTGTTCCCCTCAAGCAACTTCATGCCATGATTGCCGCTTCAGTGTCCATCAAATCATCTCAGAAACTGAAGAAGATCCTAGAGGTCAGTTTGTGTAATTCAGTCTTTGATTCAGAACTTTTCAAAAGAATATTGACAGAATATGGTCTGGGATTAGATAAGCATGAGTTTTGTTTTTTTGGGGTTGCTGTTTCAGATAATTTTGGCTCTGGGGAACTACATGAACAGCAGCAAGAGAGGAGCCGTGTATGGATTCAAACTGCAAAGTTTAGACCTGGTAACACAACACACACCTCCCTGTGTTCACTCTGCAATCCCATCCAAATATTAATAAGATCGTCATGTAGCAACAAAAAGTCAACAGGCTGTATAAAGGTTTAAAGTAATGCTAAACTCCTCCAATCACCACCTTATTATGGTGCAAGAGTTTCAGCATAAATGATCCTAGGAACTCTGCTGTTGGGACAGTTGCCAGTGTTAGGATTTCCCAAGGCACATTAGTCCTAGGTAACGGGTCAGATGAAGAGCGATTCCAAAGGTTCAAATGGGCAGACAAAATAAAGGAGCTCAGTGACCAATGCCCAGACGCAAGTTACCGAGGCCCACCCTGGAGTCAGGCCTTGGGGAGGGAATTATCAGCAAGTGCCTGGTGACTGGGTCTCTACCCATGGGGTCCAGTTGAGCTCAGCCTAAATGAGAAAAATGTGTTTGCCTTCCTGTGGGCCACCCAGTGGCCTCAGGGTTACACCTCTGCTAATTGCAGATAATACTGTTCTATTGGTGTCATTGTGCCATGATCTTCAGCTCTCACTGGAGCAGTTTGCAGCTGCCAAGTGTGATGTGGCTGGGATAATTGGGGGAGTGGTGGCGCAGAGGTTAGAGAGGTGGGCTTGTGATCCGAAGATCGCCGGTTCACGCCCCGGCCCCGACAACATCAAAAATTGTGGGTGGGGTAGGTGAAACACCCACACTTGCCCCCACCCTCATTCGCCCCACTCTGGGCCCATGAGCAAGGCCCTTAACCCCACCATGTGCTCCCTAAACAGGTCTCTCTTGAAAATGAGTTCTCGTGGCTCAATGAGACTAACCTGGATAAATAAAGGCTAAATGAAAAAAAATAAAGATCAGCACCTCCATGTCTGAGGACATGGTCCACTGTCAGAAAAGGATGGACTGTCCTCTCAAGGTCTGGAGTGAGGTTCTGCCTTAAGTGGAGGAGTTCAAGTATCTGAGGGTTTTGTTCACAAGTGAGGGAAGAACTCTAAGCACAGCTTGGATTCTAGAACCCAACTCGTGCAGAAAGGCTGGACTTTCTCCTACTCCAGAGTAGCCCAGAGAGAGAGGCATTCAGTGGGTGTGAGGTTACTCATTGGTTCATGTCTGCATGCCTCGATGTGGACATTTTCCCCAATGAAAAAGAGGGTTGCGCCTCTGTGGCTTCAGACTGCAGGAGGGAAGGGTCTGACTGTTGTTTGTGCTTTTGCACCAAACATATATATATATATACATACATATATACACATACATACATACATATATATACATACATACATGCATACATACATATACATACATACATACATACATACATATGTAGTGATGTCGGGACAGCTTTGCTGTAGACACACTACTAATTAATCATTCTTAAAGCTAGTTCAAGCACAAAGAATATTAATTGTTTAATTAACAATGGATTCTTTCTTTTTCGAGTTAAATTTCTGAAATGTGACCAAGATAACTTGAGAGTGGAGTTTATAATCAGTGACATGAGACGTCATTTTATCTTTGACCCATCAGAATAAATGTGGTCATTTATTTAACAGAATCAAAATTTAACATCAAAACATGTACACTTGATTTGCTGATCTGTTTCTGATTAATAAACTTCATCCATCCATCCATTATCTTTACCCGTTTATTCCATTTTGGGTCACGGGGGTCGCTGGTGCCCATGTCCAGCAATCACTGTGCGAGAGGCGGGGTACACCCTGGACAGGTCGCAAGTCCATCACAAGGCCACATAGAGACAAACGAGACAAACAACCATTCACTCTCTCACTCACACCTAGGGACAATTTAGAGTTACCAATCAGCCTAACATGCATGTTTTTGGTCTGTGGGAGGAAACTGGAGTACCCGGAGAAAACCCACGCATGCTCGGAGAGAACATGCAAACTCCACCCAGAGGGCCCCTGGACCGGGGTTTGAACCAGGGACCTGTTCGCTGAGAGGCAGCAGCTCTACCAGTTGCGCCACCGTGCTGCCCGATTAATAAACTTGGCAAGTTCAAATAACAAGACAACAGAAGATTACTGATGGAGAATGATTCATCTCTGAAGGCACTTAACTTGATTTACTAGCGAATAGAAGTTTAAAGAGAAGGAGTAAAGAGGTTTAAAGATTTAAAGAGGAGGTTTAGATGGATGAAGGAACATGTGTTGACCAGAAATGGCACCCTTCCTCCGACCCCGGCTCAGCCCTCCGGTACACTCAGCGTGTGACGACTTGTTACCTTGGCAGAAGATACATCAGCTCCGGAACAGAGGTCCATTGCACGCTACCTTTTCAGCATCTCCGGTCAGGGTGGCAGAGAATCTTCTGAAGTAGTTCCATATACTCCGTTCAACAGAATAAGCTTCCTTCGAAGTCGAGAGCATTTAATGCTCAGTTTGAGTTCACAGCGAGGCACGCTGTGACTACACTGGAATGGACAGACCCTTGGCTCATGGTCCAAAAATTCATCAGCTATTTACTTCAGCTGTAAGACTCCAGCAAGACTGCAGTCCCAGCCAGAACTCCAAACAGACTTTCAGTAAGAACTGAAAGTTCCTGTACAACTCGCCATCAGACTGAGTCTCATCTTCGACTGAAAGTTCCAGGAAGACTGAGAAGACTGAATAGTTCCAAGAAGTGTTGACTTTTAAAGGGTATCCACTTCCTGTTATTTGGTACTTCCTGATTGGTTGACACAACCAGCAAGGGTGTAGTTTTAATGATGTCAGAGGGTTAATAGAAGCCAGCAGACAGCAGAAATGTTTTTAAGAACGGTTAGTACAGACAGGAAAACAATTTTGAAGAAATGACAGACTTTGCAGGTGCCAGTTTCTTATTTACTGTCTGGGAGTCTTAAAAACAAGGGTTAGGGTTAAACAAGGCTGTGCTGGGGTGGGTTCAGGGTGGGCGCGGGGGCTTGGGGTTCTGGGGGCTTGTCGCCCCCGGGCTTGGGCCTGTGGGATCAGGGATTTTAGGCTCTGGCGGGCGGGTTGCTGGGCTCTGGGCCGGCTTGCGCTCTGGTGCCCAGTTCTGGGCAGGGGCCTTCGGCTCGCTGGTGGGTTGTGGGTTCATGGGTTGGGTGATTGGGTGTTTGGGGGCGTGGGGCGTGAGTGGCCTCTAAGAGGGGGTAGTTTGACCCAGCCTAGGTGTCTAGTGTGCTATGTGTTTTGAGAGATGTCCGAATGAGGGGTGGGTGTAGCATTTCTTCTGGGGGAGCATTTGCTCTCACAGTTCTATTTCTCCCCATCCCTCACCATGCACCTCCACCCTCTTCATTTCAATTCCACACATTTAGGGTTGTTTGGGCTTGGGTGTGCTGCAACAATTTTACATCTCTGTTGACCATAGCCACCTGGGACTCAATTTTATTGTACACCTTAGACATTCACTCATAACATCCTCTCCTCATGACATTCACATATAGGAACTTGAGGTGGGCACATGGCTATGGGTGGTGGGATGACTTTACTCTCACCCCCTGTGCCTGTGCTCACTTACAATGGTTGTATTTAGACACTAGGGTTTGGATAGAGTTGGGGTGGAGGGGAAACTGGCATCATGCCAGCCTTTGCTCCTTCTTCTTTCCTTTTTAATGGCACTATACAACAACACACATCAACAGCACATCTAGGGGCGGAGGTGTATGTGTCGGGGGTGTATGTGTCGGGGTCTTCTTCTTTTTTTTTTTTCTCCTCACCCCCCTAGTTCCCTAACTGCCATTCCGGGGGTGGGGTCCGGGAGAAGGGCAGGCCGTCGGGTGTTGACCAGGACTATGTGGAGGTTCGGGGTCTGGGGGATTGCTGTGGGCAGTGCTGGCACTGTGCTCTCCCTGGGGTTGTTTGGACCCCCTGAGCTTGGCTCTTGGGTGCCATGGTTGGCCCGCTGGCCAGGGTGGCTGCCGGGGCCTGGCAGGCGGTTGGCTGGGGGCGCGTGCTTGGTTGTTGGTGGTGTGTGGGGGTGGTTGGTGGTGTGACCTCTTCGTGCCAGGGGGTGTCCTGTCGGCTGGGCATGGCCTGGGCCGGGTCTGGGATATTGGCTCCTCTCCGCTCGAGAATGAATGGGTCTACCTCCTGGGTTTGGGCATGGGCTGCCCCCTGTAGAGAGCGGGTACATGTCTTGGACCTAGGGGGTATAGAGTGCGTATTGGGAATAAGAATGAAATGTATCGTTATTGTATGTCTTTGAGTGAGTGAGTGAGTGAGTGAGTGAGTGAGTGAGTGAGTGAGTGA